TCATACTTAACTGACGGAGGAACCAAAACTGTGCAATTTTTAGAGTCTAGGGATAAAAAAAATGTAAAAAATTGTTGAGGGATAAAAAATGTGCATTTCTTAAAGTTGAGGGACTAAATTAAGCATTTAACCTTTGAAAAAATATCCTTAATATTATAAAATAAAAAGAAAATAATAACAAAATAACAAAGGTTATGTAACAAAAAATTTTTATTTTTACTTTATATAAATTATATAAACTTGTTATAGGGTATATATAGATTAAGAGAAATATAAAAGTTACATTAAGTATTAAATAAGATTAAGTGGAGTTATGAATAATACTTTAATAGAGCCATGATTGTTGCCTGAGTTATGAATGGTGTTAAGTGGGAATGAGTAGCAAAATGAAATCTTAGAGATGAAAATGAAGGTGAAGCTGAAGGTGAAGATAATACCAGAAATTCACAACACTTAACATTTAAAAATAAATAAATAAATAAAAACAGAAGAAATAACCAGTACGTGAACAACGACACCGTTTCGAAGCAGCGAATCCTACTTCTCTTCCCTGAACAGCGTTTTGCGTTTTTCACTTCAGCTTCTCCCCTAAAACCTCTCAATGGGTTCTCTGTACAGAGCTTCAAAAACCCTAAAAAAGTCAACAAGATATATACCTCTATTATCTTCAACACTTAAAATAATCACCCCATTTAATGATGAGTTATTGAATCGGCATCATTACTTTGGTTCAGGCCACAGTTTCTGTTCTCATTCCCGGCACAGTAAGGAAAGTGCTGCTATAGATTTGAGTCAATATCCAACTGAAAAGATTAGAAATTTCTCAATTATAGCACACGTTGACCATGGAAAATCTACGTTAGCTGATCGGCTTTTGGAGCTCACGGGCACCATCAAGAGAGGCCATGGTCAGCCTCAGTACCTCGACAAATTACAGGTACATAACAATTTTTTAGATTTTATTTTTTTATTTTTTTTTACCATTTGGATTGAAATTTGAGTTGGGTATTTCATGGATTTGGAAGTGGCTGTGAAAACGTATGTCTTTACATTTGTGCGTAATGGGCAAAATGCAGGCAGTTGTATTTTGCTAAGGGTTATTGTTGCTCTGTGAATAACGGGAATTGGATAATTTGATATGTTATAATGTTGTTGAATCGCACATGCTTTTATTGGTAGTTAAATTTGCAAATTCTAGGCAGCGTAAGATTGTTCAATGGTTAGAAAGAAAGTATATTAGGTATCTGCTGTATTCTGTGTTGACTGAGATGGCATATGTCATTTAGAACAGGAACTTAGGAACTAGAGAGTAGAGAATTTAAGGTATACTTGGTGGCGTTAAAGTGTTGATTTTTGAAGCAGGGCATGTTCAACAAATTAGCTTAAGAAAAAAATGGGATGTTCTGATTTGAGTGTAAGGATTTCAGTTTTGAGATGGGGTTCTCTTTGCTTTGTTTTTGCTTGAAAAGGTTGTGTTTTTTGCATTACATAAAAAATGCAACTATCTGTTTATTTCGTAATACAGTAATAACAGTGTGCTATCCATTTAAAAGAAGAACCATTTCAGTTTCCGTTTTCATTTTTTTTTTTGCTTGTTGTAAATGTGATGAATATTTTATATTGCTAGGTAGAGAGAGAAAGGGGAATTACTGTTAAAGCTCAAACAGCAACTATGTTCTACAGCCAGAAGTTCTGTGACACTGGCACTGCTGATGCCGGCAAACAATCAAGTTTTCTACTAAATCTAATTGATACTCCTGGTCATGTGGATTTCAGCTATGAAGTGTCAAGGTCTCTGGCAGCTTGCCAGGGTGCCCTTTTAGTTGTTGATGCAGCCCAAGGTGTGCAGGCGCAAACTGTTGCAAACTTCTATCTTGCTTTTGAATCAAACTTGACAATAATACCTGTAATTAACAAAATTGACCAGCCAACTGCTGATCCTGATCGAGTCAAAGCTCAGCTAAAATCAATGTTTGATCTTGAGCCTAGCGATGCTCTTTTGACATCTGCTAAAACAGGACAGGGACTTGAGCAAGTCCTTCCTGCTGTCATAGAACGGATACCTCCCCCTCCTGGAAGCAGTAATTCAGCATTGCGCATGCTTTTGTTGGATTCCTATTATGATGAATACAAAGGTGTAATCTGCCACATTGCAGTAGTTGATGGTGCACTGCAGAAAGGTGATAAGATTTCATCTGCAGCAACTGGCCAATCTTATGATGTGCTCGATGTTGGGATAATGCATCCTGAACTTACTCCTACTGGAGTCCTTCTAACTGGACAAGTGGGATATGTTGTAACTGGCATGCGCTCGACAAAAGAGGCACGAGTTGGAGATACACTGTTTCACACTCGAACCACTGTACAGCCCCTTCCAGGTATATCATCTACTTCATCATCTTTGAAGTTAGTCATCACTATATGGGTAATATTACAGAAATGGCATTTGGTGTTGATGAACTCATGATAATTGGAAAAAGCAGAAGCCTACAATGCCAATGTACAATAAACAGTTAGAAAACCATGCCCATTCTTTTTATGCTTGCAGTTATGAAGTAATGTTGCCCTTGATGCTATTGACACTTCTTATCTGCCTTAATATTTTCCTCTTTCAGGTTTCAAGCCAGCAAAGCATATGGTTTTCTCTGGTCTATATCCTGCGGATGGGTCAGATTTTGATGCCCTTAACCATGCTATAGAGAGACTAACATGCAATGATGCTAGTGTTTCTGTTACCAAGGAGAGTAGCACAGCACTTGGACTGGGATTTAGGTGCGGCTTTATTAGTGATCTGCATCTTTGACTACTAAACTGTTGAGTTCTCTTATGCTACTAAATTTTGAAAGTTTTACTTTCTTGGATATGGAGTAATATGTTGAGTGGCTATATTCCTCCCGCAGGTGTGGCTTTTTAGGCTTACTTCACATGGATGTTTTTCATCAGAGACTGGAACAGGTTAGTTTCCTTTATTCTATGCTAGTGGGTTTATGGATTTATTATGATTGAAGGTATTCATTGCAATGAAGATGTTGGAATAGCATTGGCAAATCTTACAATTTAGATATAGAATAAACACTTGAGGCCACAAGGCATTCCTGGGGTGGTATCCTTTATCTGGTCATAATATTTGTTTTTAATTCATTTGTATTATGTTGTAGGAGTATGGAGCTCATGTAATTTCAACTGTTCCAACCGTTCCATACATATTTGAGTTTTCTGACGGAAGGTATGTAATATTTATTATTGTGATCTTTTTAATATTTTCTTGGGACACTTATTTCTGAAGAGTATATCTTGGTGCTCTCTGTAGCAAAGCTGAAGTTCAGAATCCTGCGATGTTGCCCTCAAATCCTAAACAGAGGGTTACAGCTTGTTGGGAACCCACAGTGATAGCAACAATCATTATTCCTAGTGAGTAAGCTCCCTTACCCCATTGCCAATTACATTTTTGCAGCAATACAAGCCTTTATTCATTGAGTTTTTGTTCACACCCTTGAAGGTATGTTGGACCTGTTATCACTCTTTGCTCTGAGCGGAGAGGCCAGCAGTTGGAGTACTCATTCATTGATAGGTAGGCTTTTTTTGAAGACTTCTCTTAATTATTTTATATTCTCTCTATATTTCATTCATCGACTAGTCTAATGCCTAAACTGCTAAAACAAAAATGAAGTATCCATTTTCTGCTTATGGTCTCATAACTGAGGTTTAAACCATTTTTTCTCAACTTTTTGCTTTTTTTTTTTCCATTGGCTATCAATTTAGCTAGTTAGGTGTTCCATAAAATATTAAAAGCAGGCCCTCTAGATTCATGCTAAGTTCTTATAGTTTGTTCATTGTACTGAATTACTGTATTTTGGATGCCTGTAGATATAACTTCTAATGAACTGACATACTTATTTCCTATTATTCTCTGGGATTTACATGAACAGTCAGCGAGCATTTATGAAGTACCGGCTACCATTGAGGGAAATTGTTGTTGACTTTTACAATGAATTGAAGAGTATAACATCTGGCTATGCCTCTTTTGATTATGAGGATTCAGAGTAAGTTCTCTACCTCTCCCCCTTAACCCCA